TCACGAGATTGAGGTTGATTGATTGGTTTACATCTAGTGCCAAGAAGTCACTCGGTATTAGCCCGGCCTTTGCGCCCATCAAAGAGCGTTTGGAGGAGGGCAAGACTGAACACCTGTACGCGGTGTCCTCTACGAACCTGGGAGTGAAATATTCTCCCAGAGCCAAGTTCAGTCAAACTTCGCAATACCGAACAAGTTGGCCCACGAGGCAATGATTCAAATTACTCCACCATATCGATCTTTCACTCCCAACGAAATCGATTCCTACCTAAACCTCATCAAGTTTACAAGTACGACCTAGTACATCCTAATCCCAATGACCACACCTCTTGTCGACTTTCTCTGGCCTTAGCTGGTCGCCAGATACACGCCCACGCCGATATTTACACCCGACGGAGGAAGCAAAGCATGGCGCACAAATCTGGAAGACAATTCCTTGGGATGGATGTGAGAGGGATCAGGACAAGTTAATAAGATGATGCAGAGGATTGGATACAGTCTCGACGGGCGTGGAATTTTGAATTTTGGAATGGAGTTTTTACAAATTGAGCTTTGTGCGTGCCAAGAATTCGGCTGCGAGAGTGCAGGCGACACTATAAATACTGCCATAGTTGGATGGTGCGGTGGTACATCGTCTTGGCCGGTCTGCCAAGTAGAGTCTGGATAGCTTGGACACATGTCCCACTTGAGACAGTAGATCGTTGGTTCGAATCCGGCAAAACACAATCACATTTCTCGCGGCGCTGGTGTGCATGGATGACGAAGGCATGCTTGGATAACTAAAGGTTTTTAAATTCCCTTTGGTGGGTACTAACGGAGGAGGGTCGACTGTTTGTGTAAGCAAACATACCTCATAGTGGTATTTGCAAATGAAATCCAGAGTATGAGTGTCTCTAACGTCAAAAGAGTCATCCCACATGTATACATAGCACCGGTCATGTGTCATAGCTAGATAGCTGAATACACATTAAATGATTCAAAAAAAAAAAAAAAAAAAAAAAAAAAGAGCGTTTGGGGAGGGCAAGACTGAACACCTGTACGCGGTGTCCTCTACGAACCTGGGAGTGAAATATTCTCCCAGAGCCAAGTTCAGTCAAATTTCGCAATATCAAAGAAATTGGCCCACGAGGCAAAAATTCAAATTACTCCACCATGTCAATCTTTCACTCCCAAAGAGTCCAATTCTCAACTAAGCTTCATCAAGTCTACAAGTACGACCTAGTACATCCTCATTTCAATGACCACACCTCTCGTCGACTTTCTCTGGCCTCAGCCGGTCACCAAATACACGCCCACGCCGATATTTACACCCGATGGAGGAAGCAAAGCGTGGAGCACAATTTTGGGAGATAGCTCTTTGGGACGGACGTGAGAGGGATCAGGACAAGTTTACAAGATGATGCAGAAGAGGGATACATTCTCGACGGGCGTGAAATTTCGAATTTTGGAAAGGGTTTTACGAATTGAGCTTTGTGCGCGCCAAGACTTCGCTTGCGAGAGTGCAGCTGACACTATAAAAATAAGCAGACGATGGAAAGTGTTGTGGTCCGCCTCCTGGTGGTGTTCTCTGGTATGGTTTGAGTAGCCTGGGCACCTACTCCACTTGGGAAGGAGACATCTCAGATTACATTTCGCGCGGAGAGAAGTTGATGGATGACGGAGGCATGTCTGGATAACTCAGGGTTTTTGAGACGTTCCCCTGGGTGGGTATTCACGGATGAGGGTTGACTTGGGCTGAACAAAAAGCCACCATAACTTCGCAGTGGTACTTGCAAATGAAATCCGAGGCTTGAGTGCTCCTCTTGTAAATTGAGTCATCCTTTCTGTACTTTTCTCTGATATTGTGTCATAGCTAGATAGCTGCATACGCAATTAAAATCTGATGCAAAAAAAAAAAGATGCTTGAGACTCGACTAGTGCATGGTATGGTCTGATACACGTGTAGGCTTTCATCCACCGACCCTTACCCCAAACTCATGTTGTATACTGTCGTGCGATTCATTGTCATTGTTAGAGTATGGAACGAGTGATGGATAGTATCTAGTTTGGATTTGATCTATCAAGATTACATGTATATAAGCTGTCTAGGAACCACCAAGATAGATAATCTTATTAATTCAATTCATTCAACCCATCTTTTATTTCTCCACAGTATATCACATATTCTCCCAATTCATATCATTATTATTCTATTCCTAAAATCGTGCTCATATTCTTTGAGCCGCCTTACTCATCGAACCCATACCGATTTTCCAACAAAATGATGAAAATTTGCTCTCGACGGGCACAAGCCCTGCGCTCAAAGAGCATGACACGGAGAAGACTAGCTTCTCCGGCGACTATATACGACAATAAATCAGTTTGATATTTGGACTACTCATTTTGTGGGTGCATTCGCTGATACCACTCAAGACCTTGGTGTTAGGGACTTTCACCCTTCCCTCGACCGTTAATATCCACCAAAGGGAAAACATGAAAAACCTTTGGCTACCCTAACATGTCTTTGCCATCTTGTATATAGCCTCCATGCGAGATATAGCCTCACAGTCCTCCCTTTCTCGAGTGAGGTAGGTGTCCAGGCTACCCAGACTTTAATTTGGGGAGATGACGACTAGGAGGCGGACCAGAACACCTTCCATCGTTGCCTATTTTTAGAGTGTCGGTTACACTATCCAAAATCGTTGCTTCTGCACCCAGATACAATCCTAAGTCGAAGAAACTCGAAAAATGAGCGTCTCAGCATGCCCATTTGTAACCTCTTCACTCGTAGGTCCCACATCCCAGCTGCCTGTCCTCCCTCAAGATGTGAAGCCCTGTTAGAGTAACGGTCCCCCATAGACCAAGACCCGAGCTTTGTAGATTATGACTTGAATTCCTCCTCGCGGGTATACATAGCATCGTAAATGTGTAGTGGGAGATGGCCGATTTTTGATGAGGCAAATGCCCGATTGCAATTGGAGTAACGCCATTATCGGTATTCGAGGCGGGTTGGTGTGGTAAGATTAGGATGGAGGACTCGTGTGAGAATGATAGGTCCGACATTGACGAGAAGTCGTCGATTTTAGATGTGCTTGCGAGTGCTTTCGACTTCGATTTGGATGTGATTCTTCTTGGCTATCCCAGATATGCAGAGCATACTGAGCGGTTACACTGGCACCACTTGAAGGTGAAGAATTTGTCTTTGTCGGCAACAACAACATGATGATGATGATGATTTTATTTAGCGCTAAGTCGATAATCATATGTCCCAGAGCAAGTGATATCTATCCCGTTCGGGACAAAGGACGCTAGAACCGGAGCTCTAGAGTTTAGGACTTAACGAAGTCTGATCTAAGGATACGAAAAACAATTCTGTACTGCGTTATCTGAAACTGCAGACAGGAAAAAATTACGCTTCGAAGCAGAATGATATATAACTCTTCCTCTAGTTCATGCTAAATAAATAGCCAGTCTTCCATGCCTTTCCTAATTTACTTCGGGGTTTCCAAATTTACAATGTTTGAATAGGTACAAAGTATTTTTCTCATCGAGGACAATTGTTTTTCGAAAAACTGTATCTGTGCCAGCCACTGAGTTAAGATTTTAGCCCCTTCTGGAGTGCCTAGTAAGCTGATACGGAGCTGATTGACATGCCCTGCAGGGCGGTAACAACAACATGAGTCAATTACTTGTGGAATCTATCGGTAATGACCATCATGTGATGTGGCAGATCATTATTGCAAAGGCATATTGGATTAGATTAGATTAGATTTGTATTATAGTCCTAACCGAGTCAATGAATTTTGAGGACTCTTAGAATCTACAAATAAGATACTAGCTACATGTTTTAAGTTCCAACTGTTTAACTTTATGCTTTGCTCTCATGGACAGTGAGGGACAAGCCCTTGGCACATTGGAATTAGTAAAGTGGCAAGGTGTCAGGTAACTTGGAGCCCGGCCTGCCATGGGCGAAGCGTATGTAATTGAAGTAAAAGATAACTTCCTAAAACCAACTTGATTCCTATTTCTCCTGGAATTCTAGGACTATATACAATGATCATGATTGACTTGATCTCTTGATCTCTAAATATAGACATGCGCTGGGAACATATAACCTGCGGTTATAAATACAGAATACAAGCACTGACCGAAGCAAACAGCCAGCATACGTGTGGACAGTTCCTGTTTTTGACCTGAGACATTTCTTTGTCCAACTTCTTCGGCGGTTATTCTTAACCTTCGACACAGAGCTCATCTTTCTCAGTCTCATTCATATTGAATATTCCATGATAGTACCTAATCTCAAGTGTGTATAAATGATCTCCCCTCGAATCTCCCAATTCACATCGATTGGTTTACCACTGATAAGCTTAAATGATGGCTTGTGATTCTTAGTATTGCCAACGTTATCATCTCCCTTCGGCATGCGAGCTGTAATATACTCTCTGTTGTTAAAAATTAAGACTTTTCTTTATCGAGTCTCGAAACTTCACCTCACAAGCCTTCTTGAAATGGGAGTTAATCTTTGATGAGGGCAGATTTGGATTAGATCGATCTGATAGAAATTTAGAAGTTTCATGGCCCAACTTTGAAGATGAATGATTCAAAACTGGGCTGCAGGATCAAGGTTCCTCTTCAAATACTTACTTTAAATCACGTCAGCGTTATTCTTATGATGTTATGAAAGAATACTAGGCTGAGAATAGACTAGTCTGTCAGAAGTGAGTATTAAATATTTAGAAAAATGGGTTGAATTCTTCGTGTAAAATCGTCCTCTGTGTTCCGTATTCACTTTTTTCCCGTCAGAGAGGGTAAAGAACGTAATAAAATACTGGAATTCGAGTAAAATGCAAAAAAGTAGCTTTAATTATATTTTGTATTCTTTTCTAAGATTTTAAGCTGTACAATAAGCCTAGCTAGAAAATTTCCATCCAGATGGGATTTCTTTCAAACCAGAGAAAAAAGACTAATTATTTTGGGGCAGTAGAATATATTATATGATCTGACAGAGATAATTACTGTCAGTTTAGTTCCAGAGACAGGAAGTGAAAGAATAGATCCGCCGCTGAAAGTTTGTCTCCTCTGAGCAACCTTTGAGGCCCTTTGGTATCTTCGCTAAGTAAATCCGATAAGGCCATTATCATGATCATCTCTGTAGATCCTAAATTTAGTCTACTCTTTTATTAAACATTTACTTATAAATGAACAAGATACATCAATTTAGATTCAATCATAATCGTATTGAGTCCTGACTTCGCTTTTCGACTTATTTGAACGCCATAATCATCTATATCTGTATGAAAACAAGTTCTGAGCGAAACCTCGATTTTTAAGAGCGTGGTTGATAGACATTATAGCTTCAATTTAGCAGTTATTATTGTCTACTGCTGAGGTCATAGTTAGTCCACTCTTTACGGCCATCATTCCTAATGCTGATACTGTTGTTGATGGGGCAGGGGTATTACTTCGAGTCACGGGTGCACTTCGGTTGTGTGTCATATGACTGCGGACAAGATGTCCGGCCGCCAGAGCACTACATAAGGAGAGCTCTCCAGCAAGCACAGCGGCAGCAATTATGCGGGCTAGACGACGAGCATTTTCTCCTGGATTATTGGGGTGAGAGCCTCGGACTCCGAGAAGATCCAACATAGCGCCCTGAGGTTCGAGAATTGTTCCCCCGCCTAGAGTGCCAACTTCAATAGAGGGCATAGATACACTAATTTGAAGATTACCTCGGAGGCTATGGAACGTTAGCTCGATAATAGACACTAGTTCAAAGTGCTTACTTCTTCATCATTGTAATACAATTACTGCTTTCAACATTTTGTGCAGGATCCTGGCCAGTAGCTAGAAAGATCGCAGTAACAATATTAGCTGCGTGAGCATTAAAACCACCAATACTTCCAGCCATCGCACTGCCAACAAGATTCTTAGCCACGTTAAGCTCTACCATGGCTTCAACGGTTGTTTTTAGAGTATTTCGTACAGTTTCTGCAGGGATAATAGCCTCCGCAACTACGCTTTTTCCTCGACCGTCAATCCAGTTGATAGCAGCGGGCTTCTTGTCTGTGCAAAAGTTACCTGAGACCGATATAATACTCATGTCGTCAAAACCTGCTTCTGTTGCCATAATATTGAGAGCGTGTTCAACGCCCTTAGAAATCATATTCATTCCCATGGCGTCCCCCGTAGTTGTCTTGAAGCGAGGATAAAGATATGTCCCAGCAAGAGCCGTTTTGATCGACTGCAGCCGCGCAAATCTGCTGGTTGAATTGAAAGCTTTAGTCATTGTCTTTTGTCCAATTTCTGAGTCTAGCCAGACTTTTGCAGCGCCTGCTCGTTCGAGTGTTTCAAAGGAGACGCATGGACCTCGTGTCATACCGTCACCAGTAAGAACAGTAATCGCGCCACCACCAGCGTTGATAGCTTTAGCGCCACGACTAGTACTTGCAACTAGAACGCCCTCAGTTGTTGCCATCGGTAAGAAGTAGCTTTGGCCATCAATCACCAAAGGCCCAGCGACACCAAGGGGGAGAGGGACATAACCTATTACATTTTCACAGCAGGCGCCTAAAACACGATCCCAGTCGTAATTTTTGTATGGCAGTTTGGAATGCTCCAGTAATGTTGTAGTTTCAGAGGTAGCAGCAGTCCGTGAGATTATCGCCCTTCGGATCTTGACGGCTCTGGTGGTGTTTCTCAATATCTTCTCTAGGGCGTATCCAGGAATCTTTCCCTGTAAAGATAGTTTGATAATTTCAGCATCAGTCAATTCTGTTGCTTGCTTTTCTTTAAGCATCTGATCCATTTCATCTTGAGAACGCATTATTACTTCAGATTCAAGTATTTCTGCTCGAAGACTTCTGGAATCCTCATCAGTTTCGGAGGGTGTCGACGGTGCACTGTCGTCTGAGTCAATCTTCGTGATTGGTGAGCTGTGTGAAGGTGTATTTTGACTATTATTAAAGTGCTCCGCATGTCGAAGTTCCACGGGATCAACGGGTTTGTGAGGGTGGCTTTGAAAAGGGTGTGGAATACTCCACCTTGCAGCGTTAAATAGATATCCATTGAGTAGGACACTCATTGCGAGAGCAACTATAATCCATTTGGACAGAATTGGGTCTTCCAAACTTTTAAAAAGACTATAAACTACAAGACCGCTCATGCTATACTCATTTTCGCTGTCGTTTCTTCTATCTGTTTCTCTTTCGTGTCTTTTACCACCTGATGATTCTCCTGAGTGAATAGAGGGATATTCAAGCTCATAGTAAATAGGAGGTAAAATCTCAATTGCAGTTGAACGCTTATTAGATAGTGCAGCTTCTAGAATAAGGTCTAGCGCAGTCGAGGCGGTCTTTAAAGGATCGATTGGTGTTGAGATATCTCCAATGGATGATCCCTGGTTAGCGTGCCCCACTAAGCCTGACGAGTGGGCATGGCTGATACTGCCTCGAAAGGGGATTGTGCAGATGTTAAGTACGTTAATTATTATAAAACCTGTCACCATAAGGACCTTAAACTTTGGCACGCTACTATCCTGTAGCTTACGTCCAAAAATATTAGTCTCATTGACGCCGGCTTTATCTGGCCTCGGCCATTCATAACTCTGTGCGACGTTCTCAGCAACTCTATGGCTAACGCCATCGTCTTCCAGGGCTTGACGTAGGGCTACGTGCCTTTTGATATGATTAATCTCGAGTTTAATACTTAGTACAGCAGTGTAAAAAGTAAAAAGCAAGAGACAGTCAAAAAATAAGATCCAGGCGGCTAGGAAACAAAATTGCTGAAGGCCGCCCTGGACTCCAGACATGGCTCCAGCAGTTAATATACAAATCTCAATGACGTAGTCTCTTATCAATTGATATCCCTTTTCTTCGATAGCTATTTGAACAGCACGTTGTATTGAGGTCGATGATACCCCAGTTTTTGCGCCGCTCCTAGCTTTCTTGAACGAGTGCGATGGGTCAGGCTTCCTTAGTCTTAGGGCTGCGGACAGAACAGAATTTGTCAATACAATCGATTTCTCGAAACCAACAGTAACGACTAAGAATGGGAGGCCCTCAGATAAAAGTATCATATTTATAGGTACCCCCATTTTTGTTGTCACGATTAGGCCGAAGAGAAAGGCAAATGTTGAAGATAAGACTGTCGTGCAGAATAGCCAAAAGTTTGAGCCCATTCTTCTCATTGATACAAACAATGAAACAAATGTTAGATGCATAGATATATAGCCTAATACCACTATGACTATATCCAAGGCTTCAGCATTTTTGAGAAGATCTAGGAACATGACCCAGCTAGTCTTAACCCAGTTTTTTAAAGTAGTGCTTGACTGGGAGACTCTTGCCGCTCTGATGATCCATTTTTTCTTTTCACGGGCGAACTCGAATTCTTGTCGGCTGTCAAGTTTTTTCTCACTAAGAGAAGACTGACCGATGGGTAGCTCACGGGCGGTTATTAAAAATTCTTTTAACTGAGCCTCTGGCAATGTAAACAAAAGGGTTGAGTCTTGAGACATCAACAATGAATTTGGTGTAACAGGAAGCAACTTGTAAGAGAGATTTTGTGGAAGGACAGTATCTGATATAGGTTCTCCGGGAGAGCTTGTTGTTGAAGAGTCTGAAAATACAAGGGTTATAAGGGCCAGGTGGTCTTGTTCTGGTGAAATAGATTTGATGGAATCCGATACGGACCATTCCCAATTAGTCTCTGATCCAACCTGCAACTGTCTACCTCCTTGCCGAAGTGATCTCCAGTCAGTCTCGGCATGACCAGTTATTGTGACGCGGTTAAATAGACTACTTTCTAGGAGACTGATGTATGTGGTACTCGCTAAAAGCGCAACTATCACCACTGTATGAATCGGGTGTATACAGGCTCCTCGTGAGAGCTTTTTGACAAAGGGAGTTATCTTGTTTTTAAGCCATTTTGGACCTGCCGCTGATTGATGACCAACGCCCAGTGATCTCGTAGACATAGAAAATTTACCAGTTATAGAAGCTGCCATACTTGTGAGTGTACTATTACCGCTTAGGATTGCTCAAAACTCATCAAAACTATTCCTGATAGGAATTTAGCGTCTTGATATGGTGATATGTTAACTTTTATCCAGTTTCTACAGGTGATTTAGGAGAGGTTTCTTTAGCTAGATGGAAAATCTTTTGCGTTGAACGGCTTTTAAGGTTGTAAGTCCACAAAGTGTCTATAACTAAGCGTTTGATCTAAAGATAAGATAAATTGGTATCATTCGTCCGCAAGTTCCCGGATTTCAGAAAAGTGAAAGCGGTAATCGCAGAGTTGGAGCCCGGCCAGATTCGAACTTTCAAGATAAAAAATAGTCGATTAGTTTGAGCTGGTGTTATTGATATGTTTATTTATCCTTCCCTAGGACTTTGTTTCAGTGTTCATAGCCTTGGGGTCCATTTGGAATTCTCTAGACTTACTGATATCTTATCGTCTTTAACAGTCTGTCTACATGCGACGCTGGACGGGTTATGCCAGCAGATTGCTAACAAAAGGCCCTTTTTGCCATGAGACTGTCTGGAGGAAATTAATTTCATTGTCGGCTAAGAATGGCCGATCTTTCGTCGGACTCCATAGGTACCCTTCTTACTCGGGAGGAGGGATCTAGTGCAGATCTAGTTAGCGTTGGGCCGAAAGGGCAATGGCTCAACCCTTTCCTAGCCTTCTTACAGCACTTAATATCCGAACAGGGATACAGCATGTAGACTGGACAATACCTTGCAATTTATAAGCACCAACTAAATATTGATAATAATACACTTGGATCTCTTAACTTAGCAGATCGCAGATGCGGTCATCAGTGTAGCATCATGGCAGATCGCAAAGAATAGCATTACTGGGCCATTGGTGTAGGAATCATTAAAAATTGGACTAGGTACACCTGTAGCAAAATACCAGAAAAGAATACAGTCCTACCTTTTATGTGATGTCTCTCAGACAGTTCTCAATTAAAGCTACGCAGGAAACTCATCATTGAGGCCTGCAGGCTTTTATTACTTTTGGTTGAAGATATGTTTATTCAAGAATAATTAACGTATTCCGATCAGTATTTTCGTTACCACCCAAATATTATTCATGCTTTCGGAATGATAAGCTCTTAAACTAAATATATAAGATTTCGAGTGATAACCATGTCCAATATTTTCTTGAGGTCTTTAATTTGAGCAAAGACGGAGTAAACTCTAGTCGCTGAACACAATTTCCAGCTTCATTGGACTTGAATTATGTATTTGTCTATTTGAAACAAAATGGTTATGAGAAAAAATATATCTACTGTCTACTGGCTGGGAGTAACTACGGCGTATTAAAATTATCATTCTAGATGACCCATGTTTTCTGTCTATCGATAATAACATCTTTCAAGTATTCTCTTGGGTTTCAAATAAGAGTAACTGAGCAATTACTACTGCATTTTAAGTTACAATGCCACATCACCCGTGCTACTCTTCCAAGTTGGAGTCTAGGTAGCTTAGACATTTATCCCACTTGAGTCAGAAGACGGCAAGTTCAAATCTACCGACACTCAACCACATTCCCGCGGCGCTCAAGTACATGATAATGAAGTGTGCTTAGATAACCAAAAGTTACGAAGCTTTGCATCCGATAAGTATTGATTGGGGATGTCGACCGTTGTATGTAAATAAGCATACTTCATAGTGTTATTTAAAATGTCAAAAAAAGCACGAATATCTGGAGTATAAATAATAATCAAACATGTTCTTAAAAAATAAATGAGTTACTTAGATAGCTGAATACACAGTGAATGTTTAATAGACTACCATTTTCCACCTCCATGCAATTGACCACTGTTCAATGATAAGGACTCGTTACTACGACTTCCAGTCAATCTAAAATACCAGTAGTCGAATATGAGTTAGATCTGAGAAATGCGGTAACATTTTCAGTCGTCTTCATAACTCAAGATACGTCGAGCTACCCATAAAAATACTCAAATACTTCGAATTGAAAGAAGTCCTATTAATCTGCAAAACAGAATTCCAGTGATTCATAGCTTCGATCGACGATACTCTATGGACTGAACTCACAATTCTTCCTTAATCCACTGCGCTATGGCAATAAATCTTAGCTATACAGTATCCAATTTTAAGCATATAATTTAAAAATTGGTAAGGAGCGCCAGTGCTAGCCTACATAAATAAATATTGCATAGATCGAAGCCATGTTTCTCGCCTTGTAGATAGGTAGCATTAACAACGGCTTTAACCTAAGGAATACCTTTAATGGCTGTTTATTGATGGCCAGCCAACGAATTTACCGTCAGCGGAGCAAAGATGGCGCCGGCCTGACCTTATGTCAAATGATATTATATGCACTCAGCTAACGAGCCGTGGTACAAAATAAAGATTTGGTGCGCATGTTCGTTGAGTCTTAATCTTGGAGACTCTCAGTCTGTCTCTTCTAGCTGCAATTAATCTGCCAAGGTGTGGATGATAGTGATAAGCATGACCAGTGCCCATGAGTTAGCGCCAAGCTGCCGGGACTTTAGCGGTGCCGAGGCATGAACGTCATTCTCGGAACATGTATCAATAAGGGTAATAGGGATAGGGATAGGGGATGATGGTAATTAACAGGCACAGGCCCGATCTCGCCACCATACAAAACGTAATCAATTTAATCTATACTCTGCTCCTGCACACTATCGAGCCCCAGTTTTACGGTGACCTACGTCTGGCAAATTGAGATTATGATTCCCATCAGAGGGCTTTTTCTATTTTTTTTGCATCAGCTTTGAATTGCGTATGCAGCTAGCTAGTTTTGACACAATATCAGAGAAAAAACACATAATAGATGACTCAACATGAACGAGGAGTTACCATGCCTCGCATTTCGTTTGCAAATACCACTGCGAAGTCATGGCGGCTCTGAGGGCTCTTACTATTGCAGCGTCTCACCAAGGACGTAGTCAATAGGTCTGTTCAGTTGAACTTAATACAGTCTGTGACTCCAGGGGTCTTGTCCAAAATTACACGGATAAGGCGAACATAACCCTAGGCGGTTATATGAGTAGGATCGTCGTACACCAACGGTTATTTATGCACTAAGTCATATTAACTGGTATCACTATCCAGGCGTTAATGCACAGATTCGTGTCCCTCCCTAAATCTTGCACCTATGCTAATGGCACAAATAAAAAGATCCTTGGCTGACCAGACACAAAAATAAATGTGCAAATTTGAGCAGGGCCACAGAGGCAATATCTTTTCGGATTCAACCAGCACGTTTAATATCAAACAGTATTCGATGTGATTTTTTTGATTTGATTTCATTTAGCCCGTTCAGGTACCCTATGGGCCCATGCAGGTATATCTAGCTACAATATTTACACAGGAGGAAACCAAATTCAGTAAAAGCCCCCCCACAATTGTTTGTCTCGTGTCTATTTGTTTCCTGAGGTTTCCCACAGGAAGTGCGTTTACGCTGTTTATACAGTGTGAAATCCGTCTCATCCTTTCGTCCAATGCTATTTCTACATCTCCTGCAAGCCGGTATTGTTCAAACCAGCCTTTTGCCAGGATCCATTTTGTAATTCTCTCTATATCATCTGGACTGTTCATCAATGCCGCAAATGACCTATCTTTTGCCTTTCGAAGCACCTCTCCTCTTCCCATTGCCCACTGAGGACACGCCAAGACCATATGTTTGACATTTTGAGACAGATATCCACACTGACATTTTGGATTAATCACTCCGGGAACTTTCCTTCGATACAGACAAGAATTGAGACCAATGTGGTCACTTCTTATCTGAACCACAATACTGCCTTGGGCCCTACTAAGGTTATTTCGATGTGGACTTTGAATTTGAATTTGAATTCAATTAACCCGATCAGGCACCCTATGAGTCCATGCAGGTGACTATCTGCATTATTTACAAAGGAGGAAACCAATTTGGTGGAAACCCCCTGATTCTGTCTTTTTATTTTCCTATCAATTTATTTGGTTTACCTTCTGGAAGTGCAGTGTCCACTGTTCAGCCCGTGTGGATTCCGTCCTCTTCCCTTCTAGATCTATTTACTTTATCCGACATTGCTACCTCGACTTCTCCTGCAAGTCGAAACTGTTTTATCCACCCTTTGTTCAGTATCCACTGTGTAATTCTGGCCATGTCTTCTGGGCTGTTCGTCATTGCTTCAAATGACCTGTCTTTAGCTTGTCGGAGAAAGTCGCCTCTTCCATTTGCCCACTGCGGACACGCCAACACCATATGCTTGACGTTTTGCGACGGATATCCACATTGACAGCTTGGTTTTTCTACTCCGGGTAATTTTCTTCTGCTCAGGTAAGAATTGAGTCCGATATGCTCGCTCCTTAGCTGAATGGAAACACTGCTTTGGGCCCTGGTTAGGTTACGGTGGATTTTTAAGGGGGTATCTTTGAAGTTCATTTTGACGCTGCCTGTTTGTTTATCAGTAAATATATTTGCCGCTTTCCAATATTCGATGTGGATTGTTAGCCGGGTAATTAGATCACTTGTGTTTTCAGCAATTGAGTTATTCCGTTTGTTTACTGTCATTGTATCTTTGATAATATATAGACGCGTAGGTCCATTCTAACAATTGGCCGACTGTATCTATGCCGCGGGTAGTATACTTCCTCCTATGGCTCCTTCACTTCTCCTTTCCAGCGGTCATACCATAACAGGTCTTCGTTTGAGTACGCACTCAGAAAAGCCGTTATCCTTCATGATCTCTCTCCAGCCAACGAAACGATGGCCATTTGCGGCTCTGTCACGATGGCAAGGAGGTGGAGGAAATTTATGAGGTCAGATCTTGCGAACGAATATCTCTTCAAAGTGGAACCAGTCTCTGACTACATGTACTTAGATTTGCGTATTCGAGTCCTGATTAGTAAGCGACTTCAAGTAATCAGTGGTAGCTTGTGTTTCCTTCACTATGACTTTAATAACTTGTCTCAGTCTATGACTACGTAGACAAGCACAACTATCATTACGCAAACAACAAGA